GAAAAATTAATTTTAGATTATAAGAAATGAATTTTTAAAAAAAGGAAAATAAATTGAAATAAATTAATCAATTTTTTTTTCTGATCTAACAAATTGATAATATTTCTATATATTGACGAAAATGATATAAATTGCACAATTTTAGAAAATATTTAATTTCAATAAATCAGTTAATCAATTAATTAAATGCAAATACCTCTATATATATATTCTAACATTCATTTCCTTTCTTTCTAAATAATACGTTTGTTTAATATATAATAAATAATATAATAATAATAAATAAAATAATAATAATAATAATAATAATAATAATAATAATAATAATAATAATAATAATAATAATCCAAATTAATTAATTAATAATTTCCACAATAGCAATAATTATTATTGTTATTATATATACAGCTCATTTAATTGCATTTTTTTAAAATAGGTAGTTCATCATTAATTAAGTAGTTACATGGTTTATTTAAGTGGTCACCTATTTTGTCATTAATTTCTTTATTTTATTCGTTTTAATGCTTATTTCACCACTTTAATTTGAGTTAAATTTACTTGTTGTTTTTATTCCATTTAATTTAGCATTTAAAGGAAAACGAAAAATGATAACAAATGGAACAGAAAAAGAAAACGAAAAAAAACTGAAAATGATAGGAAAAAAATGCAACAAAACATGAAATATTTATTTAATTTTAAATTCATTTAAATTACAATATTTGAATTTAAATTATACAATTACTTTGTCTTCAATATATTCAAAATTGCATCGATTTTTGTCAATTTTTCTTTAATAATCTAAAATTAATTTCCAAATTTTTTTTGTTCCAATAATTTTTTTTTCGATCTTTTATTATTTTGCCATTTTAATCCAATGTTTTCATTTTTAAATGTTATTAAAAAAAAGGTTAATTTTAATTTAAATACTTTTTGTTGATCCTCCTCATAAATGATCTTTTTATTAAGATCATTACATTGAATTGTTATTCGATCCAAATCATTCTCCATCTTTTTACTTCATTTATTACTTCCATCAAATGTTGACATTCTTTTCGTTTTCCTTCTTTAAATGTGAATTTTATCAAATATATTAAAAATAAATTTTTTATTAAAAATTTTATATAGCAAAATAAATAAAAATAAATTTTTTTTATCATTCAAATTTTAAAATTAAAAAAAAAATTGGAAATTAAATTCTGCTATTCATTAGATAAGCTTAAAAATGTATTTCAAATTAGTCATAATATTATCATTTATTAACAGATGTACAATTCATTTAATTTTGTTTTTGATTTTTTTTTTTTTTGAAGTCAGTAATTTATTATTAATTAGGTGATTTACCTAATTTATCATCAATTTGTTTATTTAATTCGTTAATTTTATTAGATTTTTCCTCATCATTCATTAATTGCAGTTGAAATGATGTCGTTTCAGGTTCACCCGTCTCAGATGATTTAGAAGAAATTGTTAATTCATTGGTTTCTTCCTCACTTTGTGATTTATCAAATTGTTGTCCATTTACTTTCCTAAAGATAACAATGATAATTAGCATCATTAAAGATTATTTTTATTTATCATATCAATAATGTATGCAATTAAAACAAAATATTTTAATTAAAAAAACAAAATATTTTAATTAAAAAAAAATTATATATACATTAGTATGAATTATGCTAATGAATAGAATTAAAGAAATAAATTAATTATGAATTTATAAATTAATCCGTGTTATTTCACGTTTTTTCACGTACGTTAACATCTCTTATTTTTTATTACTTATGCAAAATCTTTCCATATATATGATAATGAATGGAATTAGAGAAATAAATTAATTATGAATTTGTCAATTAATGTTTTATCTAATTATTAAAATATATCGAATTATTTAAAAATTCTACTAATTAATGCACTAACAATGTATTAATTCGTATACATTGAACTAAATCCATATTTTCAGCTCTTGAATCATTCCATATCTTTCGACGATCTTTATCATTTTCTTTTGCTTCCATAGCTTGAATTACGAAACGATGTCGTCCATGATATCTTTTCATATTCAAATTTGTTATTAATATCTTAATATTTTCACAGTAATTAATTGATTAATTAATTAATTAAATACTAATATAAGAGAAGAATAAATTTATTGGTATTAAATTTAATAAGCATATCTCATAACAATATCAACCTACATTAATGCTTTCATTAACTGATAAGAAACCGGTTGCTGGCATAACAATATATCGTGTTGGAGCATTAGTACGAATTCGAAATGCTACACGTAAATGGCTAACATTTCTAAATTTATTCAATAATATTCATTGATATTAATAAAATTACAATATGACAATTTACAATACTGAAATTATACAAAAAAAAAATAAAATAAGTAGTAAATTAATTTAAAAATTAAAAAATTAAATAAATAATAAT